TTTTTTTTTTTTTTTTTTTTTTTTTCATCCATGACTTCAACCACAACTACATCTTTTTGTGATTACTAGTAGTCCAGAAATACGGATGCTATCCTGGGGCATCCCTGCCCCTCAGTACCGCAGCTAGGAAGCACAGAGCCAGTTATAACCCCCAGGGGCCGATCAGCAAATTGTATCATATCCGTGCAATGAAATCTACTCAACAATAAAAAGAAGTGACCTGTTGTTACATGCTGTGACATGGACAAACTTCAAAAACATGCTAAGTAAAAGAACACAGGTATAAAAGAACTCATTCGTGTGATTCCATTTATATAAAATGCCCACAAAAGAAAAATCTACAGAGATGGGAAGTTGATGAGTGGTAGCCTGGGGTTAGGGTGGGAGGAGGCTTAACAGTTAGTGGTATGAAGGATCTGATTGGGGCAACCGAATGTTCTACGGATGATTGCACAACCTGGTAGTTTACCAAAAACCACTGAACTGTACACTGGGAATGGGGTGTAAACTATGTCATCTCCCTGAAGCTGACCTCCCCAAAAAAGATCGAATTACTGGTATATGCACAAAGATGAACCTCAAAAACATTATGGTGCACCTAAGAAGCCACACAGAGAAGATTCTACACTTAGAACTCTCTGGAAAAATGGGCTGGGCTTTAGCTCAGCGGTGTGGCCGCCTGCCTCGCAAGCGCAAGGTCCCGAGTTCGATCCCTGGTACCAAAAAAAAAAAAAAGAAAAAGCAACCTATCCATGGTCACAGAAAGCAGATCAGTGATTTTCTGGAAGCCGGCCTGGCAGTGAATTGACAGGAGAGGACACGGGGGAACACTTTCACATGACAGAAACATTCTTCGTCTTGCTTATGATAATGCCTACACAGCTATATATATAGGTCTGTCACAAATCACTGAAATGTATACTTAACACAGGTACATTTTCTTCTATAGAAATGGTACCTCCATGAGGTTCCTTGTTCCGCACTTGTTTAAATGTGATGAAACGGGCCAGAACCAAGAAGCACCAGATTTAAAAGGAGCCCCACAGTCCCCCATCTGGGCTCTCACTAGACCACGCTGATGCCCCCCCTTCAAGCCAAGCTCGGGGAAACGGTGCTTGACGGACTGGGACCAGACGGTCCTCTGGGAGCTCTCCTACCTCTAACATCCGCGAGGCCTCAGCGTGTTGGACGTGGAGGGGACCTGATCACATAGCGTGAAGCTGGCCTCTGCGGCCCAGGCGCACACAGAGAGGAAAGAGAAGCAGCACAACTGTTCCGGTGCCTCTTCAGCTGCACGAACTTGTCCGGAGGCACCCGCTGAGCAGGGCCGTCCCTGCAGCTGTCACGGAGAGAAAGACAGGAGAGAGGGAGTAAATACCCGATAATGGGTGGGGGAGAAGGACGCAGGCGCCTGGCTCAAATCGTGTCCCTTGCCAAAGCGGACCTCCTCTCCTCCCCCACAGGGGCCGCAAGCAAAACCGGAAGCCGGAAGGGATTCTGGCCCGTCAAGGCCAAGCATCCTGAAGAACTGGAAAGGACCTGGGATCCGCAGTGTGGATTCTACCAGCTAGCTCTGAGCCACTCTGAGCCTCGGTCTTCTCATCCACAAAACGGGGATCAGGACAGCGCCTACCTCCCGAGGCTCCTGCAAGGATGGATTAAGACGCTCAGTGTTCTCTACGAGCTTGAGTTCTGCTCTATTGTCTTCCTTGTCACCACCCTCGCTGGCCACGCTACTCACTAACACTGTGCACGGGACGTTATCTCTCCCCTTAAACAGCCCACGACATTCCTGGTAGCAAAAAGAGCAACCAGAAAAGCACTCGCAGGCTGCCTTTTAGGATCTCTTTAGGTTTTTGTCTTTCTCGCTGAGTCTGGGATATAAGGGCAGGCGACACTGGTCTAACACTGGCCTACACAGCGTCAGATGCTCTGGTGCCCTGCAGATGGGAGGAGCTCCAGGGAACGACAGGCCTCACAGGGGCCTTGATCAGAAACCAGGGCTGCTTCTACCACGGAGGACAGGCTGCCACTCCTCACAAATCTGAACACTGCAGCCCCCAAAGAGGAGATCTGAAATTCAGTTCTCCTCCAAATAGATAGGAAGGAGGAAGGAGAGCAAAACGGAGGAAAAGGGAGCTGAGCCAATGTTTACTGAGAACAGACGCTGCTAGCCAGGGACAGTGATGACTTGGGTTTTATTAGACCCATTTTACAGAGGAGGAGACTGAGGCTTGGAGGAACGTGCCTTGCTCTCGGGCCACCCAGCTAGAAAACAGTGCAATCAAGACGAACAGGCCTGTCGGACTCCAAAGGGCTGGAAGACTTAGTTCCAATATGGAAGTGGGGATTAAACGAGGAGACTTGGTGGAGGTAATATATAAACCACAAACTTGGTGGCCGCCACCTTCCCACACCAAGAGGGAACTGGCCCCAGACAGCTAAACCAGCTCTCTTCAGTATTCCGGTTGCTTTCATGGTCTCGAGGCAACTGATTAAGTTTCCTTTTAGGAAAGAGGTGCCCCAGACTAGACGTTACATGTTTCAGAGACAGGCTCAAACCCTGACTCTACAGCTAATTGCTGTGTGACCCTGAGCTGCTCACTTCACTGCTCTGAGCCTCAGCTGCTCATCTGCGGCACCCACCTGGAAGCCTTACCCTGAGGTGTCCATGAGGCAGCACCCAGCAAGAACCTGGGTAGACAAGGACTCAGAGTACCTGGGTTGGTTCCCATTCACGCCTACTCCACCCCACCCCAGCCCCAGCACAACAGCCCAGCCCCTCCCTCCCTTCCCAGATGTGCCCAGTCCCTTCCCAGGGGCCCACCTGGCACCATGAGGGAGAGGGGACACCTGCCTCCTGCCATCCCATCGGCTGGTACCGGGATGGGGAGGCAGCTGTCACCCTCACCCAGGCTGCACCTCAGCCTCTGAGAATCTTTCCCTATTGTTCTACAGAGCTCCAGTGACAGATGAGCTGGGCCTCAGAGGCAGGGGAGGGTCCCCAGGACAAAGGCCCAGCCTCTGAGTAATTCGCCAGCCCATTGGGCCCGCACAATGGACCCAATGCCCCAGAAACCCTCTGAGCAAACAGCCCAGGATCACCAGAGGCCACGCCCACAGCAGAGGGGAAACAGCGAATAGCAGGCCGGCCCACTACAGGTACACAGGGCAGCAGCTGCCTCCCTCAGCACCTGTGGGGTCAGGTTCTTTGCACACTCCGGTGCCGGAGTCACGGTTCCCATGGTGGACATGGGGAGACTGAGGCTCGGGAAGGAAAATGTCTTCCCTCCTGAAACGCACAGGCCGGGAGAAGGGCTTGCACACAGCGTTGAGACCCTCCCTCCCCTCTCTCTCCACCAAGCTGCTGTGCTGGACGGGTGCATTCACAGGAACGCCTGTCCCAGGAGCGAGCATGGGGAAGTCGTCGGGAAAAGGGAACTTGAAGTGAAAATTTCAAGGGGAAGAGAGAAAGCAACAGGCGAGGTGTAGCTACAAGAAACTGGCTGTGTCCACAATATTCACCCCCTCGGTACTGGGGGGTGAACCTGGGGCCTCAGCACTGACCTACATCCCCAGCAGTTTTGTGGGGTGTTTTTTGTTAACCTTTTAAATTCTGAGGCAGGTTGCACTAAGTCACTTAGTTGTCCAGATGGGATCCTTCTGCCTCAGCCTCCCAGAGTGATGCGATTACAGCTATCCACTACCACACCCAACTCCTGATGTAACTTTTTAAAGCAGGATATATACAGCATAATTTCACTTATCACTTTCAGTAATAAAACTATACCAGAGGAAAACACATAAAATTACTTGTATTTTTGGCTTTTCCCAATCTTCTACAATTATCATGCATTGTATTAAAATGTTTTTTTAATCACTAAAAATTATATTGCTCTCATTTTTTAATGCAGGCACAAAGAGTGATTCTCCTGAAGCTGGTGGTAAAGGCCCCTGATTCCTCTTTGGGACTCTGAAGACTTGAGGTGCCATTTGCAAGAGGAGGGGAGACAGGCTAACATGACAGTAAGAAAGATGCAGGGTAAGGACCGGTCTTATGGCAAAAGTCATGATGATAGAACAGGCAGACACCAGGGGGTTGGGGGCACAAAACCTTTCCACTGGAAATCAACCCTTATATCACCCAGAACTAGGGGTTGGCAAAGCGCCCCGGGGAAATGGTTCTCCCAGGCTGCAGCTCTGCAGGGGAGTGTGGCGGGGGCGAGTCTGACCACTTGTCATGGGGGGGGGTGGAGTAAACCTCCGGAGGCCCAGCCCGACCCCAAATCTGCTGACGCATCCCCATGGCCACGTGGCCCGGACATCTGCGTACGGAAGCCACGCCCCCCAGTCCGCGAACCGCGGCGCTCAGGTTTCCCTGTCTGTCAAGTGGAATTACTCATCCCTTCCCTGCGTCTTCCGCCTCCCCAGGCGACCGCGACGCGCCCAGGTGCTCCCAAACCAGAATGCTCTTAGGGACGCCAGGCGCTGTGCTCAGGGCTGCGCTCCGGCCGAGGCTGGCACCGAGACAAACAAAGCCGCGGCCCTCGCGGCCCCTCCCGGCCTCCCTCCTGCCCACCCTCCCGTAGCAGGTGGGGGCTTTCTCATCGCCGCCGCCCCACGGTGGGATGTGCGTGCCAGCAACCCCGGGCACGCTGCGGCCTCGGATCTGCAGCCTGGGGGTGGGGCACCCGGGACCCTGGGGGAAACGGGGTCCCTAGCCTAGCGTCCTCCCGGGAGGAGAGTTGAGGATTAGTCCTCTCCCTCATCAATTCCCAGCTTCTAGAGAGTGCACCAGAGCTGGGGAGAGGAGCGGGGCGCGATCCGAGCTGGTGGGCTCCGAGGTCTTCCCAGAACCTTTCGGATACGCAACGTGGGCTTCAGAGTCGGTCACGACTGCACTCACAGACACTGGCTGTGTGACCTTGGCCGGGTCGCTAACCCTCTCTGGATCTCCATCTCCTCCTGGGTAAAACTGGCTTCTCGCGGCCCCTGGGACTGTCTGGTAAAGCGCGCAGGGCACTAAGCCGTCCCTGGCACTGAAGCCGCCTGGGCTGATGAATTACCTTCATCATGGACAATGTCGTTCTTTTCTACAGGGCTGGTTTCCGACTCTGGCCTCTGGGAACCACACTAGACCCGGAACAGCTGGGGTTTGAGTCCCCGAAGGGAAGAACCGAACGGGGGAGGGGGCGTCTGTGCATGGGGGAGGGGAGCGCCAGGACCCCACCCTCCAGTGCCAGGACCTCTGGGGCTCAGTCCCTGGCTCGGTCAGTTCTCCGCTAACCCGGTTGGCCCAGAAAGGTCTGGGGCTCCCCACCGTCATGGCGCGGGGAAGGGAAGGGTCTTTGTTCCCCCTCAGGTCGGGACTGCAAGGCCCCCGCCCGCCCTGGACTCCCTGCCGCCCCGCCCCGTCCTGTCCCCTCGTCCGTCCGGCCGGAGTCGGGGCTGCTTGTGACAAGTGCGGGCTGGGCCACGCGGGGCTCTTCCCTGAGCCGTGCCCCGGGACACTGGGACCTACCGTCGTCGCCAACCTCGGAGAAATGGGCTGCTCCCGCGCGGGCACAAGGATGCTGGAGAGCCGGGGCTGTGAGGACGGGGCCGTGGCTCCCCTCGGGTCCGCGGTCCTGCGGCCGGAGTGCGGAGGGCTCTTTGTGCCCCGGCTCCCAGCGCAGAACTGGGGGAGCCCCTGCAAGCGCCTCCCCTCGCAAACTCCTCCCCGCACTCGTCCGCAGCCTCCCTCCCTCTGGTCCCCAGCGCAGCCGGCGTCGTCTTTGTAGCTGCTGCAGCGCCCATGAAATTTTAATGCGGGAGCGGCTGGCGGGAGGGTGGCGGCGCCCCACCCCGGCCCTCGCCTCTGCCCTCCTCCCGCCTCCCTGAACCCCCGCACCCCCACACCACTTCTTCG